CGCCTGGCTAGCTACCACCATCTTACCTAACTCTGTCGCCATAACAACAATGCATTGTTGTATTTCGGCAGTTAGAGGTAAGATAGCCAGTTCCTCCGTGGTTGAGGATTCGTGGGTGAAGCTCGCTTCCACCTTCGGCCTGATCGTCACTTACGATCAGGTAAGATACAGNTTTTCTTTTGATAGCCTAACTATCACTTGTGATAAGGAAAAAAACTAGATTGAAAAATATCCTCATTTGTAGAAATGGCATGAGAAAAAGTAATCGCAGGTGGCAATTTTCTAAAAATACACAAAAACTTAAAAATCTTGAAATCGGTGATATTTTTACGGGGGTCAAAAATGGACGTTAGGGAGATCATGGCGAGGCCTATCGATGGTTACAGGGTTATCCATTGTTTTTGGGACACCCTGTATATTGTACTCTTGGAACATAGTATCAATGGATTTTTTTGTTATATTGTATGTATTATTGTACAATTGTTGGTAAACCAATAAATAAAAAAAAAAAAAATAAAAAAATAGGTGCTGCAGCACTTCGAGGCGTACCGTTCGATCCGCGAGCTCAGCGCGCTGCGCGAGCGCGTTCACGCCACGCGCGCGCAACTCGCCGCGCAAATACTCGCGGACTTCAAGCAGGCCTTCACCGGTAACTATTGCACTCAGGCCCCTCTTTCCCACTGGGCACTTTGGGCACGTGCTTGGCCCCGCGACCGAGGGGGCCCCCATCTGCTAATAAGACCTTTTTTCAGATGATAAGGGCCTTGGGTTGCCTGTCCTAATGACTTTAGGACAGGCGAAAGTCGAGCACCAGAATAATATCAAGTGCACGCATCAGGATGTTGGGCAACCGATGATGATGGAATACATTTAGTGTAAAATGTCCGGCCAAATGAAGCACAGAGTCCGGCTTTTGTGTTTTAGGACCTGGCAACCCTATAAGGGCCCCCCTTAATCCTTAAATGCCCAGGGCCCCTAGTAGGTTAAAGACGGCCCTGATTGCACTTAAAATAGAATAGGTTTATTGGGCTTACTATGGGCAGGCCTGTTCATCTCCGCGAGTTTACATCGAAAACAAAACACGCACGATGGCCCACCTACAGGATACTATTCGACAAGGGCCCACATACGAGCGAGCATTGACTCACGCACGCGTATTCTTGTGTATGATGGAAGAAAATAAAGAAAATGGTGTAACTAAATACTGTGCAATATTTAACTGCCTAAATAATAATAAAACCACATAATGTACTTGTGGGANTGACCCTGCAGACGGCTCATCCGACCTGGTTTCGTCCGGAGGCTGCATGTCCATTCTCGTAACCTGAAATGCAAATTGTTCGTAGGCGTAGTATGGGTTTAAAAAAATCCCTCGATCCCACTTCTGATGTGGGAGTAAATGAAAGCAAAAACAGTAAAATTAGAATATCTTTTTATTATAATATACAAATACTTTATATATGGCACTATTAAGCTTATATATAAGCAACTATATAGAGCAATAATGATTAGATAAGCTTTCTAAACACAAGAATGATATTATTTATTTATTACGTTATAATTATACTATGTATTATATAAACAACACATAGGTAAGCAATCCGGCATAATAACAGTATGTAATTAACAAAATAAATAATAAAACAATGGTACCTGATAATGGAGACAGTTCAGAGCACCGATGTGCCGTGTCCGACGGTTGAACAACGTCTGAGCTGTCGACACGCCGTAGCCGCCTTTTATAGCAACGAGTAAACAAGCTCGGTGGCAAGGTGGGAGAACCGGTAGCTAGAACTTGCTTGCGTATTTTGTACGCCGAGTCGTTTAGTGACTTATTATTTGTAAAAAATCAACATTTGTACCAAAAATGAAATTAAATACGTAAATAAATAACAAAAATTACACGTATTCTCCCACAGACATTATATTATATTGACTGAACAATATTATTCACTTCAGTATTCAACAGATTGTATTATATAATTAATTATACAATGTTCAGTACAATTTCAGTACATGATTCAGTACAATGACAANGACCAATAATGATTATGCCAAATTACATGACATCAAGTAATGGCCAAATCACATGACCCTAAGCCAAATCACATGGCTACAAATAAATGGTGGTCAAATCACATGACCCGTAAGCCAAATCACATGGCTACAAATAAATAGCGGTCAAATCACATGACCCGTAAGCCAAATCACATGGCTACAAATAAATGGTGGTCAAATCACATGACCCGTAAGCCAAATCCCATGGCTACAAATAAATGGCGGTCAAATCACATGACCCGTAAGCCAAATCACATGGCTACAAATAAATGGTGGTCAAATCACATGACCCGTAAGCCAAATCACATGGCTACAAATAAATGGCGGTCAAATCACATGACCCGTAAGCCAAATCACATGGCTACAAATAAATGGTGGTCAAATCACATGACCAGTAAGCCAAATCACATGGCACAAAAATTGGCCAATTCACATGACCTAAAAGTACTTTATCAATAACCAAATTCTTTACCCTGCGTTGGCCAGGCGCAGAGTAAATAGATAGAAATTGATAAAATACCCACAGAACACAATATTATTCATTACAATCTAGAGAATCGGCTAGTACATGACCCAAATCAGGGGACATCAACCGTAAATTATCGTGTGAAACATATAATTCATTTCCTGTTTCGTGCACTCGAATAGTGTATCTATCATTGTCTTTTACATTTGTGACAACGCATGGACCCCGAAACTTGCTGTCAAGCTTATTAATAGATCGCAAATTTTGTTTGACTAAAACTATGTCACCAACTTTAAATGGAACGAGTTTTGCTTTGGTTTTGTCAAATTGCTCTTTTTGTGTTTGACCACGCTCGTCCATTCTGAGTTTTGCTTCAGAACGGCAAGTTTCTAGGTCCAGACGTTCCACATCTTGTAACAAGGCTGATATAGCTGGAGGTGACTGATTGCAACCCATTAGGAGTTGGAAAGGCGTTTGACCAGTACTCTTATTGAACGTACTATTAATAGCTAACTGGACTTCGCCAACAGCGTCTTTCCAACTCCTTTTAGAGGTATGTTCAACTATTGTGAAACAATTGGTCAAGACCTTCATCATTCGCTCGACTTGTCCGTTTGCGCGACTAACACCACTGGCAATAAAATGCACATCTATTGACCAACGATCACAAAAACTCCTAAATTCCTTGCCCGTGTAACCAGCAGCTTGATCACAAACAATCCACTTAGGGGTTCCGAAATTATAAATTAGTTTCTTCAAACAGTTAACTGTGGCAGTTGCAGTGAGATTATTAACTGGCTTAATGAAACAAAACTTTTTAAATGCGTCCACAAAGACCACAGCGTATTGTTTAGTTGGTTTATTACCACTCATTTTGCCGGTAGTGTCCATATGAACGGTATGGAAGGGAACAGGTGGCTTATCGATTGGATGTAGGGATATTTGTTTTGAACCGGATTCGCTTTTGTTAATTTTGCAGGTAAGACAGCTATCAATATATTTACGAGTGTTTTTAACCATATTCGGAAACCAAAACTGCTCGCGAATTTTTTCAACAGTCTTTTACCAACCAAAGTGTTTTTACCAACCAAAGTGTTTAAGTGAGTCATGATAAAGTTGAATGATATGCCAACGATAGCTTTTAGGGACAAAGAGACATTTCTTGGACTTCTTATCTTTTGTATTAAAGATACGGTAAAGCAAGCCATTGTGAATGTCATAGCTCGAAGATAAAGATCTTTATCAATTGTCCCATTATTAAAAGAATCTATTATATTTTTGGTTTCCGGATCGTTAAATTGCTCAACTTCCAACCAATCACTATAATTATGAATGTTACAAATGTTTAGTTGTGATTGGTCAGTCGGATTTCGACTTAGAAAATCAACATGAGGTATGCGTTCACCCTTTCGATACTCAATCTCAAAATCAAATGACTGTAAGTATGCCCACCACCTATGAACCCGAGGGAGCAATTACTTTTTGTTGCGAGAAGCCTTCAAGGAGTTAAAATCAGTAATTACTTTAAAAGGTCTGCCCAAAAGATAATGGCGAAAGTGTTTTATCGCCCTGACTACAGCCAATGTTTCCAATTCGTAGGAATGGTAGCGGCTTTCCGTTTCGGTGGTGCGCATACTAAAGTACTCTATAACTTTAAAGTCGTTATTATGCTTTTGAAAAAGCACCGCACCAAGCCCGGCAGAACTTGCGTCGGTGTGGAGCTCTATAGTTCTCGTTGGATCAAACAAAGTTAATATCGGTTCTGAAGCTAAATACTCCAGAAGTTTGTTGCGGGCAGATTCGTGGTCTGATGTCCAGTTCCACTTGGCATTATTCCGTGTCAAGTCATATAAAGGTATAATATCATTGTGAGTGAGAAATTAGGAATAAATTTCCGAAAATATCCAGCAAGGCCACAAAATTGGCGTACTTGTTTTTGGTTTTTTGGTACAGGGGAATTCAAAAGTGCTCTAATTTTTCCTGGGTCTTTAAACGTATATTCAGTTCACCAGTGGCGACTTGAGAGACTTGATTGCCAGACGTGAACATATCAGAGCATGAGTTAAGGACATCATGTAATTGTTGCTTACATAGAGAGTCAATATTGTTGCCAATATTCAGAGTGATTGGATCAGAATTGTGAACAACATTTATATAATATGAATCGCGAGAGATATATGTATCTTCTTTTGTAAAGACGACCTGAATACCAGGCATTTCGAATAGGTTCTGTCCAAGTAAAACATCATACTGAATGAACTGATCAGGTACAAGTACAAACTCTAATTCAAGGGTCAAGCCATCAATACAGATCTCACAAATCTTTTTACGCGATGAATAAAATGAGTTGTTTCCAACACCTTTTAACATCGTGGTCTCATATAATATTTTGCCTTTAACGGAATCACCTATGCTGTCCCTAATTAGTGAACATTCGGCCCCACTATCTAACAGGCACGAAAAATCACGATCACCAATATTTACAGTCTTACAACGCTTCGTTATTCATAACTACAGAATTGACATTACTTGATTGTGATTTTTCGTCCTTGTTTTTCTTAAGACGCTGAAAGCAGTTATCAAACGTATGACCTTTTCTTTTGCAAAATGAGCACGTAACAATAGGCTTGTTACTGTTAGAGGTAGATGGTAGAGAAACTTCTTTTTGAGGTTCTTGAGTAACGACAGTCGAACGACAGTCCTTTAGTAAATGACCTAACTTTTGGCATTTGTGGCAACGCTTTAGTTTGTTATCAAAGTTGCTGGTCTTAGTTCTCTTGGGTGGAATACTTTGGTCAGTGTCTTTACTAGATCGTTTGCGTTTATATGAATTTAGGCTTTGAATCAATTGCGGCAAATTTTTGGGCGTCAAACGTAACAAATCAGAACGTATACGAAAATCTGACATACCAGATATCACGGCCTCGACTAGTCGCTGCTCAGTCATCTCCACGCCAATCGCCTTCCTGGCAAGCTCCCATTTCCGCGTAGCATACTCGGCGAGACTGCTTGCCTGCTCACTGGTGTACTCCATGAAGAGAGTGAGGTCATCGTAGTAGCGCGCTTCATCTGCAAATGTTTCCACAAGCCTTGTTTTGAGTTCCGACCAGGTAGTCAAAGTTGTGTAGTTACGCCGAGACCATTCGGCCGCACGTCCTCGTAAATTTTTACGGGACAAATTAAGAATTTCCCTATCAGTCAACTCGTATTCTCTTTTTAAGTCGTTTAGACTGTCACACCAAACTTTTATAGTGTCGGCGCGATCATCAGGATCGAAAGGTGGGACATAAATATTGTCTAAATTACGGACACGAGGACCAGGCTTTGAGTGATAAGTATTAAAAGCACTAGCAGTAGTCTCTATAAGTTTGGACATCATCTCTTGCATCATAGTCTGCATAAAAGTAACGGGAACGAAACCTGTCCTTGTATGTTGTCCGGCAGTAGGGCCGCCCGGAGTCTCACTCCCCTGAGTGGCTGAAGGCGATGCTGCTCGTGGTGCCAAGATGGGTGACTGCCTGCCGTTACTCGACCCTGCAGACGGCTCATCCGACCTGGTTTCGTCCGGAGGCTGCATGCCCAATCTCGTAACCTGAAATGCAAATTGTTCGTAGGCGTAGTATGGGTTTAAAAAAAATCCCTCGATCCCACTTCTGATGTGGGAGTAAAAGAAAGCAAAAACAGTAAAATTAGAATATCTTTTTATTATAATATACAAATACTTTATATATGGCATTATTAAGCTTATATATAAGCAACTTTATAGAGCAATAATGATTATATTATATATTTATTACGTTATTATATAAACAGCACATAGGTAAGCAATCCGGCATAATAACAGTATGTAATTAACAAAATAAATAATAAAACAATGGTACCTGATAATGGAGACAGTTCAGAGCACCGATGTGCCGTGTCCGACGGTTGAACAACGTCTGAGCTGTCGACACGCCGTAGCCGCCTTTTATAGCAACGAGTAAACAAGCTCGGTGGCAAGGTGGGAGAACCGGTAGCTAGAACTTGCTTGCGTATTTTGTACGCCGAGTCGTTTAGTGACTTATTATTTGTAAAAATCAACATTTGTACAAAAAATGAAATTAAATACGTAAATAAATAACAAAAATTACACATATTCTCCCACATATAAGTATAGATGAATTTATTGCACGATTGAGCTTAAAACTTCTGGCAGCTCTTAGACGCGGATCTTTACAACTAGTATTGAGTGGAAACGATAAGTTATCTCACTCGATTATTTCTAAATTATACAAGAGATTAAAAATCTAGTTACCGATCCTGAAAGCGCTTCATGAGCTCTATCAAATGGTATTAATAAATAGATTACTGAATAAACTGGATCTGTCCGAAATTTGGTTCAGTGACTTAATATTAAAAACTAAACAAGATGCCGTAAAACTGGTTACTGATCCTGAAAGAGCTTTACAAGCTCTATCCAACAATATCTATCGATATTACAGAATAAACCGGATCTATCCAAAAATTCAAAGTTTCCATCTTCCATACATTTAGTACTACCACAGTCATGGCACTCATATCTTGATAACTTTTTATAGCAAGGAAAGCCTAAAACCATTGTTTTCCATACGTAATTTTAAAATAAGAATGCAATTTACCAGTTTATTTTAAGAGTTTATTTATTTACTAGCGGCCGCCCGCGACTTCGTACGCGTGGATCCCGTTTTACCCCCTTCATCTATCTTACGCGGTTTAGATTTTTTCATACAAATGTTCTTTTCCGCTAACCCCCGTTTCCGTGGCAATTTTGCAATATCCTGTTGTAACTAAGCTTTAAGTTTACTAAGATACCTGCATGCCAAATTTCAAGCGTCTAACTTAAGCGGTTTAGATTTTTCATACAAAACGATTTTCCCGCTAATTCCCGTTCCCGTGGGAATTTCGGGAATTCCTTTCTTAGTGCACCTCTACGGTACCTAAGCTACGTCCCTTCTAAATTTCAAGTGCCTACGATAAGCCGTTTAGGCTTAATGCTGCACACCGTTTTCCCAAAATTTCCCTTCACTACTCTGCTTCTAAGTATACTATAACCTGCCCAGGAGTATGAAGAATACCAAGTACCAAGTTTCGTCAAAATCCGTCAGTCATCCGTAGACAGACAAAAATTTTACTCATTGCATTTTTGGCATATCGATCACTAATCACCCCCTGATAGTTATTTTGAAAATATATTTCATGTACAGAATGGACCTCTCTACAGATTTATTATAAGTATAGATAAAAAAATACACTTCTAATATTGTGTGGCTGGCACACATTTAGTATGGAAGCTGAAAACACTGAATTTTCAAATAGATCCAGTTTATTCTGTTACCTATTATTGGTACCGTCTGAAAGAACTCGTAAAGTACTTTCAGGATCAGTAACTAGTTTTCAACCGACTTCAAAAAAGGAGGAGGTTCTCAATTCGACCCGTATGTTTTTTTTTTTTTTTTTTTCTATGTTTGTTACGCGATAACTCCGCCAATTATGAACCGATTTGAACAAATCTTTTTTCGGCGTATAGGTAATACCTCAAGGGTGGTCCCATTTAAATTTAATAATAAAAAAACAACCCCCAAGGGTGGAAAATTGGGGATGAACTTTTTTATACGCAATATCTCCGCCGATTATAAACCAATTTGAACGATTATTTTTTTGTTGAATAGGTATTATCAAAAGGGTGGNTTACTTAGAAATACATTTGTTGTAATATTAGTTCAAAGTTGTGCCTTCGCGAGTTACTTGGAAATCGGGCTTTCGAAATTCGCTGTTTTCGTAGGCAAAAATCCAATTTGAACGAGATTTTGTCAATAGACATTCCGTAAAAACGTACGATAATTACGATGATATAAGTCAAAAGAAGCTATAACAATAAATTATATGACTAAAATCATTTCGAAATCTGCCAAATTCTCGATTTCTGCATGAAAAATGTGACAACGCTCTTAATATTGTTTTAAATCGGTTAATGAGACGGAATAAGAGCTTTGAATGTTAATTCTGTTATTTATTTTCAGGTGAGCTAACATTTTATTTAATAGAAAATTGAATTTTGTTTTGAAAACTGTAAAGTTAGGTTTTGAGCAATAAATCTGTTATTTATTTTCAGAAACGCATAAATGCTTTTATTTCGAACAATATCATTATATATTTTTGAATAGATACCATACCACCAATGTCAGACAATCTTATGAGAAAGTTATTTTTCAATTGTGATTTAAATCAACTAGTCAACAGGTTTTGCATTTGAGAATTCAAATCCCACCGAGGGCAAACGTTATCAAAATTATCTGACCTGTATGCATTCTGAAATCCCGAGAACTATTAAGATACGAAAGCGCTGGATTGTTGTTATGAGCGGTCTTAAAATAATCCTACGCTTAGCTGGCTATTGTTAGGCTGGTGAACGCTGTCAGACTCGAACTTGCGCGAATTTATTACTCGGTATGATAGCAGGATCATTTGATGGGCCATTGTTTCTTCAAGTATGTTTTGATATTATTATGAATAAGCCTTGGTGTCAGCAGGCTGGTGGTATTTCACGTTTCACGACCTACGTAGGTACAAAGCATTGAATTGAACCTTTTCAGATGTCTTCTAAGTTGTTCGAGGATTTTTCATATAAATTTAGTTTTTTTTCTTATTTTCACACAAATTGTTATCGGGCATCATCGATCTTCGTCGTAAGACCTACTTCATTATAAAGTAATACAACTATTGTACCAATAGGTATCTACTTTAACTTGCAGCTGGGCAAATATCGTGTGACACGAGCTTCTGAAAAGTCGGCTGCTCCCCATGAAACGCACATGTCTGGAAGCCAGTTCTATGGACCATCTGCTCATTCCTACCATACAAAAAGTACCAGTATGGTGTACCATTGGTACAGTTAACGGCACATCAACCTTTTACAAGTCACAAGTCTGTAATTGATCTTGAACCTTAGTATAATGTAATAAGATTCAAGTTTCAATAGGAAAATTGGTTGATTTTTGGTGTCTGCTGCACACAAATAACACTAGTTAATATGCGTGCCTTTCTAAGACTGGACGCCATGTTAATGCGACCGGTTGATGCAATATTCGCGAACGCATTTATTAAGCCGGATATTACATCCACGTAACGACCTCGTATTTTGGACAATTGACTTTGAGCAATCCACGGAAAAAATATTCAATTAATGTTTTTGATGAGAGCGCCAAGTTGTAATGACCAAAGTTGTTTTCTCGTGGTGAAACAAAACTGATTGCGTACCTATAATAATACTTATTATATTTTTTGGCTGTAAATAATGGTCGTAATAGCGACAAGAACTGTTACGTGGTGACGGTAAACCGAAGCTAATTGGGATTTGAACATGAAGAACTTTTCTTTAAAAGGCAGAATTTGGAATTGGCCTGTGGTTTTGGTCAGTCAAGAAACATTATGATATGAATATGACCACATGATGGTGAAGAGTCTGTTTCCTGAGAATTCATCAGGGAAAACAAATCATTGACAGGCATCGCCAACCCTTGACCAAGTAGAGCAGAAAAATTCTGCCTCTGCCATAATTTCCGATTATTCTCGTGTACAGCGCCGTCTTTATCCTGGAGGCCCTGGGCACTCAAGCACCAACAGGCCCCTTTTCCTCTAATAAAACAAAGAAAAGCGCGAAAGACGGGCCAGTTCATGTAACATGATGGTCGTCTTTGTCACACAATGAGTTTAGTATCCCGTGTTATGAGTGAGTGTGAAACCATTAATCAACGCGAACATTAGCCGGGTGTAATTACCAGCCGCTGAGTGGGCCTCGGTGGCGCCGACATTTGACGATGGGCCCGTATCACGCATCGTAATACTACATAACTGTTGACACGTCACGTGCTGTCAGGGTGGATATTATTTTTCAGTTTCATAACAAGATGATGTCATCATCATCATCATCATCATTTCAGCCACAGGACGTCCACTGCTGAACATAGGCCTCCCCCAATGCTTTCCATGTTGATCGATTGGTAGCGGCCTGCGTCCAGCGCTTCCCTGCTACCTTTACGATGTCGTCGGTCCACCTTGTAGGTGGACGCCCCACGCTGCGTTTTCCGGTACGCGGCCTCCATTCCAGAACCTTTCTGCCCCATCGGCCGTCAGTTCTGCGTACTATGTGCCCTGCCCATTGCCACTTCAGCTTGCTAATACGTCGGGCTATGTCAGCGACAAAGAGCCAAAACAAGATGATGTAGGTAGCTTTAATCAAGCTGATTTTTTCAATATTTTCAAGAATACCTATGTTAAGATTAAGAAGTGATCCTCCATTTGCCTCTGGCAAATGTGAACCTCCTTTTGTTGAAGTCTGTTAAAATTAGAAAGGGTCGTGCTCCTGTAGAGACGTAAATCCAGATGATGATGAAGATGATGCTGATGTTGACTTGAATGTTGATTATGAAGGCTTAGATAGTTAAGCCTTCGTCAGCGTCACATTTACACTACGCGTAGTGTAATTACTAACGTTACACTTACAACAAGTAACATACCTACTAGTACTCATCCCGTCTAATTTTGTAGAAGGTACAGAGCAAATTGACCACTGACCTTTATGTTGTGTATGAAGTTACGCCATCATAATAACGTTCTCAAAAAGCAGCCAGAGATCGTTTGAATGCTGTGGTTCAATCCAGATTAGTATAATACCGCAGACGCCGCGTTATGCCTCCGACGCAGCGGCGCCAATTTTGATGGCACTTTACACGCACTTGTAATGGAGCCAATTTTTCATCAAAGTACCTACATAATAAACTTTTTACAGTTTCATAGAGGGTTCCTTGCAATAAAATGAATCTTTAGGTATTCAAAACTTTCATACTGAAACCTGCATCCGTTCTGCAGTTAGCCGGAATCGTAGCTGCAACATTGTGTAACTCCACATAAATATGTTGATTGTTGACCCAATTTTGATTTATTACCTAAGTGGTTAACGCGAACAATAAAAAGAAGTAGCTTTTTACAATTTGGAATTCACAATTTCACATGCACTAACCATTCTACATTTAGGTTTGTATTATTGTCATTCCATACCTATTTCAGTTTAATAGCCTGATCATTCACAATAAGATGAAGCTCCTTGAAATCTTGAT